ATTCTCTTATCCTTTGGGTAGATACCCAGGAGTGGAATTGCTGGATCATATGGTAGGTATATTTGTAGATCTTTTAGGAACATCTATATTCTCCACAGACTATTTTTTTTTATTTAAAATACGTATATACACTACATGTACATGTAAATGTACATTAAATAGTAACCTTGATTTTTATTTTATTTCATTTTCAAAGTTTATTTATTTATCTGTTCCATGAGGGAGAGAGACAAAGAGAGAGAGAGAGAAAAAGAAACAGCAAGCATCCCCAGTGGAGTCGTAAAGCTGTGATCCACTCCCCAGTTCAACCAGCCCCACAAATGGGCACACATATACCCTATGTGCTCAGGGAAGCTTCTTGACATGGATAGGACCTTACCCACGTGGATCATCCCCATTGTATATTACACTTTACGGCTGTGCCACCACCCAGCCCCAATGTTTATTTTCTTTATGCTTTAAAATGAGGGAGGGTGAGAAGAAGGGAATCAAAAGGAAAAAGAAAGGAACAAAGCATTTAAGGGTCACAAAAATGGAAAATTATCTGTTGATGGTAACGTGTATGGTAGTACCCTTAACAACACTAACATACAATGTATTCTGCTAGGAAAATTCATTTTGCATGTTGTATTAATACATAGTGATTGAATGTATAAAAAAATTAAAAATTATTTAATGTTAAAAAAATCTGTAAAGATTACACATGGCCATCTGTAATAGTAAAAATACAAATTAAAGGAATGTTTTAAAAGTTCTCCAATGACTGCAACCTTGAGGGAGTCCAGTCCCTTAGCAAGTTCATCAGGCCTGGTCTCAGTGCCTTCTGAAACCTCTGGCTGTTCCCACCTCCAGCCATTACACACCCCTCCTGGTACTTCCCTAAATGGGTGCTGTGCCATTCCATTGGCCTGGAACATCTTCCTTTCCCTTATTGACTACTCTCTCTTGGGTCACCGTTCCTGGGAAGCTTCCTCTAGCCACGCAAGCAGACAAACCAGTTCTTGCTCCCACCCTCCCCTAGGCCAGCCCCAGTTTTGTACCTTGCAGAGCACCGCCATTATTTACACTTCTGTTTCATGAATCCATTAAGGATTAGGCCAAGCTCTTACTCATCTTTGTAATACTCAGCATTCAGCACAGTTTTGTATAACTGTTTCTGGAGTAAATGAATAGTGAATGAATGAGTCTGTCTGGGCTCTAGGCTCTCATGTTTGCTAGAGATCTGTACTCAAGTGCCCTGTAGATCCCTAAATGCAAACTGAGTCCCTGTCTCTTTTTTAGGGTACCTTCACTCACCTGTCTCTCATTATCAATCCTTGCTCCTTTTATGCACACCCAATCTCTGTGGTTGAAATCTCCACCCTTTCAGTAACTGAAACCAGGTTGATGGATATCTTCTTTTTTCCCCCATAATAATTTCTCTGGGCTCTCAATTCTACTAGAATATGGCTCTTGTGTTGTTTTCTCATTTTTCCAAGTCTACCGCTGCTGATCTCTCTCACTCAGATGTCTGCCACAGTCTCCTCACCCCTACCTTGATAAAAACTCCTTGGTGACCTATCAAGGCTTACTGTGCTCTGTATGGTGCTGTCCCCATACAGCCCATCTCTCAGTTTGGTCTGTCCTCCATCTTGCTCCTTTCATCCTTCTCAGGAGCAAACTGACGAATTCTTTCCTGCCTCTGTGTTTCTTGCATGATGTTGGATTTGTCTGAAACTCCTTGTCCAGCTCTCTTGCCTCCCTTACTCACTCATCAAATCTTAATTTAATAGACACTTCCCCCAGGAAGTCTTCTCTCCTTTCCCAAGTCTCAATCAGGTCTCTCCTGTGTGAATGAACCCTTTTAACTCCCTACACTTCCACCGACATGGCTTTTATTATGTTGTGTTTTATTGTTTGCTTAGTTATTCTTAGGTATTCTCCTTCAATAGACTATTCGTTTCACAGGATGGTGGTGGAGGTAGGGACAGCAACCAAGTATGCTAGTTCATGAACATTTCCACAATGTCCAGCAAACATGTCCTCAGTAAGTGGTTAGCAGTCAATAAACAAGAAGAGGAATTATTATTATTTTTTTTTTTTGCCTTTGCTGCTGCAGATGCTAATTCAAACTTTGGGTCCAGATAAGACACCTTACTCTTCGTTCTGTGAAGGCCAGAGAAAGGGGACAGTAGTGAGTGCATCAGACTAGCCTTCTGTCCCCACACAGGCAGCTGGCTGACCCAGAGAAACTCTGGGGAGGGAAGACTTCTGCATGGGCCTTTCCAGAGGTGCTTTACTGAATATGTACAACCAACTTCCCCCATAGGTCACGAGTTTTTCCAAGACTTGCAGGAACTTACACTGGAGAGTAAAGGAAGTTCCCTGTGTGTTTCTAAATGCCGTCTTTAAAATATTTTTAGAGTTCCTGAGTTAAAAATCCCAGAACTGACACTGGATGGTGTTGAGTTCCCTGTGCAGATATTGCTGAGCTGGGGCTCAGGCTGGCTGTTCTCCTTGGTCAGGATAGGAAAAGGGGCAATGGTGCTTGGGCTGGACAGGCAGTGGTGCAGAGTGGGGCTCCAAAGTCTCCAGTTGTCTCATTCAGGTTTGGAAGAAGCTAGCCCTGCTAGAGATCTGGGTAAATTGGACTGGTGTGATGGATTAGAGTCTTGGTCATCAATCATTCTTTCCCTTCTCCCTCCTCTCCCCCTTAGGGCTGTGTGTACTTCCTGCCTCCTTGTTTTGGGGCTTGGTCATGTGACTTGTGTTGGCCAAAGTAATATGAGCAGATGGAATGCTGGCAAAAGCTTTAAATACTCTTGAGTGGTCTTTCCTTCTCATGCTCCCTTCATCCTTGATGAGAAAAATATGACCCAGATCACTTCTGCTTGCTCTTTATTTTTTCTTTTTAAAATAATGATTTATTTAATGTTATTTATTATTATTATTTTAAAAATTTTCTATAGGGCACATGTGCTCCCCAGAAAGAGAGAGAGAGAGGAAAAGAAAGAGGGGAGAGAGAGAGAGAAAGTAAGCCACCAGGTCTGGGACTTGAGCAGCGGTTGGTGATATGGGAGTCTAGTGCTTAAACCACCATGGCACCTGTTGGTCCCCACTGCTGTTCTTTTAGCCTGGTCCTCTGGATATAAGATTTTCACATACTTACTTTGAGATGTGTGTCATTCGGAGCTCAGGGAGATGTCTGGGCTAGAAGTATGCATTGGAGTCATGTGCAGATACGTGACATTTACAGCCTTGAAACCAATGAGCTCACCAAGGTGTATGTATGTATGGAAAAGAAGCCCACCGATTAATTCTTGGTTTATCTAATATTAGAAGTCAAAGAGAAGAGGCGGGATGAACAAGGAAATGGAGACAGAGTAGCCAGGGAGACAGGCAGTCAATTGGGCCAGTCATAGCCATGTGCACATGGCAGCCATGTACAAAGAAAGCTCAGAGAAAGGGAAAGCAGTCAAAAGTGTTCAAATGCCATTTTTAAATCAGCAAGATGAGGATGGGAAATTGAACCTGTGGGTTTACCAACAGGAAAGTTATTGGTATTCTGGATAAGAAATATTTTGTGGACTCATAGGGAGCAAAAACAGGAACAGGGAATTCAGAAGAGATTAAGAGGAGAGACATTTGCAAATGTAGACCATTCTTACTAATGCTTTGCTCAGAAAAGGAGAGCAATGGGGCTGTCGCCAAATAGGAAAGTTGCATCAAAAGAGATTATTTAAAAGATGAGATAAAAAATAAGTTTGAATGCTGATGGGAAAGATCCAGGAGAGAAAAGAAATGGATGCAGTAGGGATTGGGGAAATGATGATAGTCAGTTTATCTGGTGTAACAGAGAGAAGGTCAAAGGCTTATCTGTAGGTGGGCAGCTGTAGCGGTGGGAACTTGAAGCCAATCTTTTCCACTTACATCAATTTTCTCAATGTAACAGGAAGCCAGGTCACCCTCAGAGAGTGAGCATGCGGGAGGTGAAGAAGAAAGCATGACAGAGTAGTCCAGGGAAGTTAAAGAGTGAACAGACCAAAGGTATGTGTAAGAGTTTGCATGCTGACCAGCAGTAACTGTTCCGAGCACTTCTACCAACTATTGAATACAGCCTCGCAACAGATCTGTGAAATAAACCCTGTTATTTGCCCCATTTCCAGATGAGGAATTAAAGCACTGATCAGTCAAGAAACTTGTCCAAAGTAGCACAGTACGAAGGTGGCAGAGCCAAGGTATGAACTCAGTCTACTTCTAGAGCCCAAGTACTTAATCGAAAGGTCAGGTCGACTTCATTAAAAATGTCACGGTCTGGGATCAGCAGATGGCTGTTCGAGTACTGGACCCAATGACTTAAAACTCATGCTGGACACGTGTGCAGGCATGCCCAAACTCCCTGAGAAGAGAATAGAGGAGAAGAGATTGCAGCATGGCCATCTCCCCAGGGGTGGAGGTGGAGATGATTTCTCGCTTTCTGTCTTTGTCTCTCTCTGTTTCTCCGGTGAGCACACGCACCCATTAGCAAAAACCCTATCGAAAAAACAAACAAACAAACAAACAAAAAAAACAACCAACCAAACAAAAAAAACCCAAAAGACAAAACCCAACTTTCCCTGCATCAGGCTGTGATCACTTGGAATCTGTGCCTTGGGCAGGTGGAGAACTTACTTTGTGATGTTACAACAGGAAGATTTTAAAGGAAGGTAACTTGGAGTAATGCTGATCATCTTTCTGACCATTTTTGGAAGCATGATTTATTAGATGAAGAGGATGAGAGTTGAGAGTCAAGGTATATGGTGGGAGTCTGGGTGTTTTGTTTTTTTTCTTTTAATCAGAATTATGGCCTTTTTAATCACAAAAGCACTCATTCTAGTTTTACAAGCATTTCCAAAAACCATTTTCTCAAGAAAGAGAACTCATCATGCATCATCTACACTGAACAGCCACCCACTTCCTCAAATGCAAGGAAGCAGACAGTTAAAAAAACAGCCAAGAGGCAGCCGTTGTTTTTTGCGACCTCGCCTCAGTGAGGCCTGAGATTCTCTCGAACAGGAGTTTTGCTTCCCATGACGCAGAGCAAAGTAGCAACTGGGATATTTCTGGTAAAACTGAAAGCAAGAAAAGCGGGGTGCCGGCCCCCGTGGGACTGTGGGTGGGGGTAGGGAGTTTAGGTGCCATCCTCAAGTGACAGATGGATGGATCTCTCATCTGAGAGAAAGGAGGAGACACGTTGGCAAATCAACCTCAAACCTAAGATTGCTTGTGAAGCAATCCTAAGAGGGAAACCAGACCCAAGCTAGAGGAAAAGATCGGAAAGGCAAGAAAGGCGTGGATTGCGACAAACTCTTTGCTTCGCCAGCTACTCATCCAAACCAGAAGCAAAATGTCCCTAAAGTTGCCAAGGAACTGGGATTTTACCCTGAAAGTGGAGGCTGCGAAAATAGGTATGGTCAGTGTTTTATCATTGTGGTTCTTATTTATACTTGAGCACCCACTATTTGCATGTTGGTCTGTAGGGAGCATAGTCTAGTTAAAAATGGATCTCACGCAAATCTGCATTTATGGAAAAATTTGCATTCAAAAGGACAAGTTGGCTCCAAGTTCCAGAGTAGTGGGTGTGTGTAGGGGGGTTCTTTTTCATTTGGAAGTAGAGGTCGAATGGAGCTCCTTGGGGATCTGGGGTACTTGGGATGGTCCAAGCCTACAGATTACAAACAGAATTGTGAGTTTTTCCTTCATATTTCATGGACAAGTCCTTCTCCTTTTTGGAAACTCAGCGATATTTTGAATGGCTTCCAATAGCAGACACTAAAGTCTTTTGAAGAGCTCAGGTGTGAGTACAACCAACAGTGTCCTATTTTCTGAGCACGGGGGTCAAAGTGGGGTTACCTGTAGCAAAAAGTAGACAGCAAGGACAAGATAAGAATGTAGAGATACTTGAAGGTATAATAAAGACAATTTAAAGGAACAGAATGGGAGGGAATACTATGATGGAAGAGTTGAAAAGGACATGTATTTTTGATTAATTATCTTAGGAATGCTGGCATATTTTCTGAGGTATTCTAGCCTTTAATTATAACTTTCCCTCTAATGATAATATAATACATTAATTTAAATTTACTTTTCAACTTTTATGAGGTTCTTTATGTAGATTTATTCCATTATTAAATTGATCACAGTAATTTAAGATAGAACAATAGGACTGAAAGTGATGGCCTATATTTTATACATATCTCGCCCATAAAATGAGATAACTTTCTTAGCATTAGACATAGATACATGTTAGGGTGTTTCTAACAGATTGGAGGAATTTTACTTGGAATGAGGTTTAAATTCAGACCTCTAATAGTGATATGCAAATAGATTAAGTGGCCATTGAAAAGTCCTATCAGGGAGCATTAGTGACAAAGGTCCGAGAAAGACAGAAAGAAAACTGAGTGTAAACAGAGAAGCTATTTATCTGGGTAACCAGGGAGGATAAGTATTCCCCAATCAAGCTAGAAATCATTGTATACTGAGGTCAGTTCAGAGAATAGGTGGTGTTCATATTTCTGGCATAAGCCACAGATTTTTATTCTAACTGCTATTGATACAAACACACTTGATTGATGCTCATTCTGTGTCATAAGAAAATATACTTTTGGAGTAGAACTCCTCTGTTTTGTTCCTTTGAAAGAGTCCTGCTTATATTTACGTAAGGCCTTCTCTCTCATCATCTGTGTTGAATGGTATTTATCTTTAAACTCCAGCTTAAAAACACAAAAAATTGAGACAATTAATAGTTTTTTTTTTTTTTTTTTTTGAGAATATAGGAAATGACCATATTAGAGCTCAGGTCTGACTGGTCTCTAGAAAGATTGCACTAGGCAGGGCCTAACTGCTATTGATACAAACACACTTGATTGATGCTCATTCTGTGTCATAAGAAAATATACTTTTGGAGTAGAACTCCTCTGTTTTGTTCCTTTGAAAGAGTCCTGCTTATATTTACGTAAGGCCTTCTCTCTCATCATCTGTGTTGAATGGTATTTATCTTTAAACTCCAGCTTAAAAACACAAAAAATTGAGACAATTAATAGTTTTTTTTTTTTTTCTTTTTTGAGAATATAGGAAATGACCATATTAGAGCTCAGGTCTGACTGGTCTCTAGAAAGATTGCACTAGGCAGGGCTCACAATTTTTATGCGTACTTCTCAGAGCATGGTCCTATGGATCCTGTGTCAGTCATTGCAAGTGCTGGCTAAAATACAGATTCCTGGCCACTGTGCCAATGCCGACTGCTGCTGCAGGAGCTGCGGACTCAGTTCACGAGTCTCAGAGAGTTCTCGTCTTTCTACCACAGAGCATAGTGCCCAGACTTACTGGCCCCGCAAATATTTCTTGACTGAATGAATGTTTGACTATAAGCAGATGATATTATTTAGCATTACTTAATGAAGAAAATTATATCATAAAATATAGAGGAGCCCTCATTATTTATGTGATCCACAAGTGTGTCACACAGAAGGACTGAACTGCAGTAACATGCATTTCATGAGTGTCACGTGAACTAGAATTCAGATCACAAGCTGAATTCTTGAGAGAAGAGTCACTGACTCAGTCTCAGGACTTCCGGTCCCCTCTCTAGCATCCTGTGTTCAGGTGCAGCTGTGGAAACTGGCTTAACAAGACATCAACGAAGCTTACTTCTGTTGGGAAGACCTGTGGAACTGGAAGTCATATTAGGAAGGTGAATGGCCTATGTTTTCCAGCCTGAGTACTGGGGAGTAGGGTCTCCCCTAGACACTACTGACATTTTGGCCTGGATACTCTGTTTTGGGGGTTGTCCTCTGTGTTATAGGATGGTTAGCGGCATCCTTGGCCTCTACCTACTAGGTCATGGTATCACCCCCTTATCATTACTAGTGGTAACAACCAAAAATCTCTCCAGATGTGTCGGCGTCCTCCCCCAGGCTTAGCGCTATTATGGAAGAAGCAGAAAAGATGAGACAAAAAGATAGAGTGGAAATGGACACAGGCAGCCTGAGCCTAGGTAGCCCAAGCAACTTGTGTCGCCCAGATGAACTGGACGTCTTTACTTATAGTACAAGGAGACATTACACATGCATGTTTCATGACACTTCATGGATTAGTTGCCAGGTTACAGACAATAAAAAGCCGTTAACAAGTCTATAAAGGATTAGTCACACCCAAGGCAAGGTGTATCCCTTGGTGGTAATCCCATCTAGAGTAAATCTCATCTTCCTTTCTAATGCAGAGAACTAGCTGTTAGGTGTGGGGAAGGAGCTAAAGAACTTCTCTATAAGGAGTGTGCCACCACACCCAGAGAAGTCTAAAGAACCTTTCAGATGCAGAGCAGGGATTGGATTTTACTATTCGGGGTCAAGATGTTTCTTGAAATCCATCAGATGTGCCCCTAGTAATTTCCACCCTTGCTCTGTCTGCCACCAAGGTTAAGGAAAGACAAGTTACAAAGATCTGCCAAACCCCAAAAGAGCATGGGGTGTTTGCTCAGCGCATGTCCCCACACCTCAGACTCTCTCTCTTAAACGTGTCCCCACACAGATGTTACCAGATGATCCCTAGGGGAGAATATCTTCTCTAGTTGAAAACTACTGGAATAAATTATCACAATTATAAGGTCCCTTAGGACTGAAACCCAACTATTACTTTGATTCACTCTCTAGCTCAATTTTTAGGAAGCTTTTATGAAAATATGACTTCAGGGGGTGGCAGTTGTTTAGAAAGTATACCAAGTCAGGCACTTGCAGGGGAAATAGCAAGACACTGACCCACAAGGGGGCCCAGCAAGGGGTTCTCCTGTTCTTGGTGAGCTGCGCTTCTAGTTTCCCTAAGTCCTGTGAGTGTGAGACCGGGCTGGAGTGAAAACGAAAGTCTCTGAGTGTGGCATGGGGACTCTCCACTGACTTTTACCTTGGACAGCTGAGGGGGCCCACAGGATGGCAGCCCTGGAAACCACCACTATGGGCCTGGCAGATCTCAGTGCAGTGAGGGCAGAACATGACAGACCATCCTGCATGTGACCTGTTGAACCTGGTGGGGAACAAGGACTACAAGAAAAAGGCAAACTGTCTTGAGTTGAAGTGGAGCCAAGAGAACTCATTTTTTCCTTTGATCTTTTATCATCTTCCATTTTGGTCTGGCAATTAGTCCTGTGACTGCCTTCCACTGCCTTTATTCTCCGTTACTCAAATCTTTCACACATTTACATTTGCCTTTCTAACAGAATTGTGATCACTGTGAGGCAGGTCCTAGGACACAGCATCCTCTGGTGCATGTTCCTCGGGGTGTGGCGCATCAAGTGCCATGCATGTAGGTGCTCCACTGAGCAGGTATCGCCCATCCTGGGAAAGCCCCTGTGTCTTCATGGTGTGGGGTGTTTAGTCGGAAGGTGACTGGGTGAACTTCAGTTGTATTGTATTAAGTTGCAAGCACATCTTAATTTTTCCCTCAGTTCCCCCTAAACCAAAACAGGGGAGAATAGAGCCTAGTGGGTATGATTCTGAGATGTGTAATGAGAGTAACTATGGAGGGGTGATTATTTTCAACTTTTTTCTCCTAAAATTTAATATTGAAAAAGAAAACCTATTTAGGAACAAAAATTTATTTATTATAATCTCCAAGTAGTAAAATGAATAATGCCAACTGTGTGTGGCGGGAGAGGGGGGGAGAATCCATTTAACTTTTCTCTTTTTTTTTGCGGAGAGGAGAGGGTTTTTGCTATAGGGCGCGTGCGCTCGCCAGACAGACAGAGAGAGACAGAGAGACAAAAAGTGAGAAATCACCCCCCAGGGGCAATGGCCACGCCGCAATCCCTTCTTCTCCATTCTCCTCTCAGGATCTTGGGTACACACGCACACACGCCTGGCGTGAGTTTAAGCCACCAGGTCTGGGACTCGAACTGCGGTAGATTACATGGGTGTTCAGAGACATAGCCATTACGTTAACTGCTGGTCCCAACTTTTCTTAAAGTTTCTGTTTATCTATGATAGAGGGCATGTATGTGTGTGCACTAGAAAGGGAGCAAGGAGGAGCAAGAAAGAAAGAGCATCCTAAACAGGGTCACAGCACTCTTGACCTCCTTTCTCCAGCCCTTGAGATTCAAGGATCTTTTGTTCACTGCTGTTTTCAGGCTGATCCTAGGATCCAAATAGGCAGTGCAGTTCAGTTTGCTACTTACTATGCCATCAGACTGAAGCTCTTGCTTAATTCTTTTTCATTTCATATTGAACTAACCATCATTTGTTTGACATAGGGACCAGTTTTGCCCTTTAAGAAATTAGAGAAAGCATTTTTAAGTGAGATATACATATGCATATATGTATTATTACTTTGTAAGTATTTTCAAGTTTTCCAGAATGAACAAGTATTAACTGTATTATTAAAAGTACCCAAAGCCGAGATCAGCAGGTGGTGTAGTGTC